GCGGCTGCGTCGTACACTCCTACCTGGATGTGGAGCGAGGGGTTGAGCGCGAGGGCCTTCTGGACCGCGTCGTTGTGCATCCAGCTGTGGGCGCACTTCCGCCAGAAGTCTACCTGGAGGACGAGCTTGCGCAGGGCGGGGGCCGTGGCGGGGGTGACTGCGAGCAGCAGGCGCAGCTCGTCGCCGTCCTTCGGTGGGTACATGATATTCAGCTGCTGCAGGGCAGGAAGCGGGGACAGCGGCGTCGGCAGGGACAGGCAGCCGATGGACAGCTCCTCCAGGCGAGCCCGGGAGCGGGACGTGACCAGGGCTTGGCCCAGGGCCTTGCCGATGACCGGGTTGCCCTCGAGGTCGCGGTAGTCCAGGTTGACCCTGGTCAGCTGCTGGGCTTGAGTGATGAACTTCACCGCTCCCCGGTGGCACTGGTCCGAATACGCCAGGATCGACAAGTCCGTCAGCTTCTCGCACGCCGCCACGGCCTCCATTCCTTGCATCATCTGACACTTGAGCTTCCGGAGGTTGGTGACCTTGGCCAGCAGGCGAGACGTCGAGGCCGAGATTGGGGCTTCACCGCTGAAGCCGAGGTCGACCTCCTCCAGGGTGTCCGCGTGGCCGGCCAGCACGGCCTCCACCAGGGGCCTTGACAATGGGTTGCCCGGACTACTTGAGAACGTGAACCGCTTCAGGGACGGGCCGTGCGGGACGGGCTCGATCGGGCACAGCGTGTAGGGCACGCCGCCCGTGACGACGAGCTCCTCCAGGGCGGAGGTGGCCGCCAGGAGCGTCCTGATCAGCTTGTCGACGCCGCTCAGCCGGCCGAGGTTGACGTTGCACTTGAGCTCGACCCGGCGCAGGCGGCCGAGCGCCTGCTGGTTGCGGATCACCTGGGCGGCCTCGCGGGCGTTGCGCGTGTCCTGGTACAGGTGGATCACCACCACGGCCACGGGGCACTTGGTCCTGGAGAGCGCCCGGATGTGCGGCTTGCGGAAGGTTTCATTGACGACGACCTCGCCCAGGCACGGCGCCACGCGCAGCACCGCGCACAAGCAGGGCTCGCGCCTGCCGCCCCTGACGGCGGCGACCTCCTGGTGACGCCACACCTCGGGCTGCAGGGCGAGGGCGCCGAGGCTCTTGCTCACGAGGCGGCAGGTCAGCAGGTCCGTCGCGGTCAGATGCTGCATCACCGTCACCAAGGCGCTCTTGGGCAGCTTCTCCATGCTCACGCTCACTAAACACACAATGGTAACGGAAAACTTAGGCAACGCGTCTCTCCATGAGCAAACTGTCCGCCAGGCCCCTGTAACGTGACGACCGGCCTACCTGTGGTGTGAAGTTTGAAGTGACAGGCGCGGATGCACTCAGCGTGGTGTGTGTGACCTGGCGGGCGCCGGGCTGGAGGGCTCACGGTGCGCGGTGATGCGTGCGTGCGAGCCGTGCGAGCCGTGCGAGCGACTGAGCGACTGTGTGCGCGACCGGCCGGCGACTGGTGGACTGACTGAATGAATGAGAATGAGTGGGGGGG